TTTAAGAAGTCTCTAATAAATTAGCAGTAGAAGTTTCTAAATCCTATAAAAGCTTATATATTAGTTAGGTAAGTTAGTATCTCCTAGTTTATTACAGCTTTAATCTTCTCTAGGTCTATTTACAGGCTGTTGGCTCCTATAATAATACCTAGGAATATTATTTCTTTAGTAAAGAACTTGTATTTCTTAATTTTTATATAGAGTTCTGCTTTTTATAGTAGTTTTAGTATAGTGCGGATATACTCTAGGTGTTTAGTTCGGTTCCGGCTGTAAATTAGAATATTATCTAGGTAGGCAGTATAGAAAATATTAAGATACTCTTGCAGAGTATTATTTATAAATTATTAGAATATTATAGGGGCTCCGGTAAGCCTAAATAGTATTACTAAGGTTTTAAATAGTTCTAATCGGGTTCGGAATATAGTAAGCTATTCTTAACCCTTTTTTATATATAGGTTATTAAAGGCAGATATAATATTAATTTTTATAAAGTACTTTATTTTTTTAAGGTTACTTAAGGTTTTCTTTATTAATAGTAGTAGGTAGTAGTTCTTAACTATTATAGTATTTAGCGCTTAGTAGTTAATATAGAAGCAGAGGCCTTTTCTAGGCTTTTTTATAAATAATATAGGTAATACAGCAGGTAAAAAGCTAGGGCGGATAAATCCTTTCTTTAGATTATCTGCTACCTATTCTTTTAGAGCTATTAGCTTATTATAGGATATTAGGTATAAGGGTCTAAAAAAGGGCGTTTTTCCTTTTTCTAACTTAATTTTATAGTTATACAGGCAGTGCAGTAGCAGGTAGTCGGCGTTTTTAGGCGAAAAAATATTAGTAAACTTTTATAGTTCTTTAGGCAGGCAGTCTAGGTTAAAGCCCTTCTTCTTAGATAGGATATAGTTAATATTATCTAGTAATATAGAGAAAAGTTTATATTTTTTTTATAGGTAGGCGCTATATATACGTAAGGAAACGGGTGCTATATTCTTCCCTTCTAGGTTTTTTAGTGCAGGCGGCAGGTACTCCAAGCAGTTTTTTTTTAGAATATTAGCAATTTCTTATATATATATTGCTTTTTATAGTATATTATAGTGTTTATAATAGTACTAGCTTATAAACTATAGTATATTATAGAACTAGTCCGGTATAGGATTATACAGGCGTAGCTATAGGATTCCTAGAATAATTAGGTAATAACTTAGTTTAGTTACCCCTATTTAAATAGTTTCTAAATATTTATTTATTTATAATTAAACCTAAATAGTATAGGTTACTTTACCCGCTTTAGAATTGCCTCTATCGGCCAGTTCTAGGTAAAAAGGGTACTTAAGCGGAATTATTAGGATATAGTAATACTTTACCTAGTTTTTATTAACTAGCGCTTTCCTTTTATAGCTACTATTAATTATACTATACGCTAGAATACTCTAGCCCTAGTATTCTAAATATATAGGTATAATTAATAGGTTAGCTTTTATAACCTGTTTCTTTTTAATAGTTATTTTTTAAATAGCAGCAGTAAATACTTATATAGTACGCGGTATATAAGCCTAGCTGCAACCTATATTAGGCTTAATCCTTTTATTAAAGTAGAAAATAGAAAAAAAGCAGGTTTTAGTAGTATTTAGGTTCTATATTTAGTAAAGGGCAGTAAAAGGCTTTAGAAGAACGTGTTTTTATAAATAGAGTAGGAGCAGATAGAGCATTTATTAGGCTAAAAGCAGTTATAGATAAAGTATTTCTTAGATCTATAATAGTAATATTTTTTTTTTTTATATTAAGTTAAGCAACTTTTTAAAAAATCTATTAGGTTTTCGGAGACTTCTATAATTCTTATAGCGCCGGACGCTCTTAGTAATAACTAGGGTATAGCAGTTTATATTTCTATAGGAACAGGTGTTTCCTAACAGGTTTAATTTATATTAGCGTATATTTTTAGGGTTATAGTAGTAGATACTTTATATTATTTATAGCAGTTATTTAGGTTTTAAAGGAACTTTATAAATATATAGTACTCCCTGCTAGGGGGTTTATAGTAGAGTAGTATTTCCTTTAGTTTATAGTTAACAGCTTTTTCTAAAAGGGTTAGTAGAGCTTTTTTAGAAAGCTCTTCTTCTAAAGCTAGGTGTTAGAATTTAGTAAAAAAAACGCTAAATTCTTTATTATTCTGGCGGAGGTGGAATAGTTTAGTGCAGAAGTTGCGGACTTAGTTAGGGTTTCTATATACTTATTCTAAGAGTTCTAGAATAGCTTTAAAATCGGGTAGTTAATAGTTTCCTCTTATAATATACAGTAGGACTTAGGCGTATAGGTTTCTACTTAGATAACTATTTATATAGAATATTTAGCTTTAGGGGTTAGGAAAGCGGTCTCGGTTAACAGTTATTTTCTTATAAATTTAAGAAAGGAAGCGGCGGAGGTCCTTTCGGTCACCCGTAAACTTATTAGGGTCGGGTTATTTCTTAGAAAGCCGGGCAGAGGTGGTAGATATATTAGAAGTAGACGGAGGCGTTTATGCTGCATTAGCTGTGTTTCTTTTAGTTAGTACTTGCAGCATTAGGGTTTGCGGGGCGGTGCGGACGGTAGGTGTAGCTATATTAATTGCTTTCTGTCTCTTAGCAAGGGCTAAAGCTAGTTTATCCGTAAGCTTCTTTATTTCTTCCTTCTAGTATTTACAGACAGCTTGTAATTGTGCCTTTAGTTAGTCGCTCTGTTGTTTATATTCCTTAATTTCCAATTCCAGGGCTTATATACAGAGTGCGGCTTAGTGGTTTTTAGTAAGGCTTTCCTAGGCGGTATTAATATATTTGTATATTTGGCGGCAGTACTCGTACTATTTGTGTACGTGGTTAGTAATATGGGCGGCGAACGCGGATTCGCTGTCCGGCAGGACTAGAGGGAGAGGGTAGGACATCAGGTTGGCGGTGCAGGTAGATAGCTAAGTGGGTAAGGAGCTACGTAATGTCACGGTCTCGGGCGGCAGGATTGCCCTAGCTAGCTCGGGCAGGTAGGTAGAAGTAATAACTGAATTCACTACGTGTTCTATAATGCACGGCAGGCAGGCGGGTTAAATAACAAGACGTAGCTTAAGGAGCTATAAGGAGGCAGGGCGGCGGTCGGCAGGTATACTCCTGCCAAGGCTCGCATAGGCCCTTGTAACAAGGCCTCTCGCCGGGTCCTAACATCACGTGTTATGCTGTGCAGCAAGCTTCACCGTTCAAGCCGTGACAATAGGCCGTTTCTACTAAACTATTTATATGCCTTGCATAGTATATAGTATAGCTTGGTTTGCTATTAGGGTGCAATAGTTTTTAAAGGTAAGGTAAGATTAATCTTAGGTATAAAACGGGGTTATTACTTCTAATAGGTAGTATTAAAGTTTTAAGTTAAATATAAGGTTTCTATATATATAAAAAAGCGTTTTTATATATAAAAGCTCCGTTCTAAAAGCCCTATACTTATTCTTAGATTGCTATAATCTAGTAATAATCCTGCACTTATTCCTAGATTGCTATAATTTAGTAATAATCCTGCACTTATTCCTGGATCGCTATAATTCAGTAATAATCCTGCACTTATTCCTGGATCGCTATAATTCAGTAATAATCCTGCACGTGACCTCTGTTATGTGCTGTCCTTAGATTGTTCCCATCCACCAGCAGTCCGTGGGGGAATCCAGGATCCCTATTCGACCAACCCTCGTTCCTCGAGGTCCCGTGGTCTGTTCCTTTGTTATCAGTCTAATCTGCTTGCTTGTCTCCTCGAGTGCCTCAGCGTTCGGGCGGTTCGTGTTAGGGGTTGTAACATCTTGCTAATACTTAACAGTTCTGGCAAGGTATATTTAAGACTGCGCCGCAGCAGGTAAGTAAAAGGTGAGCAAGGGTGAGTGAGGGTGAGCAAAAGGGTAAGCAAGGGTGAGCAGACCTGAGGAGACCTGAGCCGAAGCTGAGCCGGGCCTGAGCCGAACTCAGCCACAGCGGCACGGGGTCACGTGAGCCGAGGGGGCTGGGCAAGGTGCAGATTGGGGTTGTAAAACACGTATTGCTAGCCTCATCAACCACGGTCCCAGCCTCCCTTCTAGCACTCCACCATGACGAGATGAGCTCAAACGAACAACGGGAATCGATTTCTACGGGTCGAATTACGTTTGAAGCGAATTATTGGGTCTTCTAGGCCTCAAAAATGGGCCCCCCTTTGGTACTCCGCCCGACGTTCCCAAGGGACATCCTGAGCCCCCCCTCACCTAGAACCTCACCACTATGGTACTCTCACGTTGCCCTCTACTCTGGGGCACTTCGTAGCCTCATCTATAGGCGTAGTGAGCTTATATAACAAAGTTATATCCATAAAAATCTATAAAATTCCATAAAAATCACGTCCGTATGCATCCTTTCCGATTTATATACATCCTTTCCAATTTATATATATCCTTTCCGATTCGTATATATCCTTTCCGACTTGTATATATCCTTTCCAATTTGTATACACCAATCGGATCAATCAGATCAATCTCCGCTTAAGGTTTAATTAGCTAGAGGATTGATTAATTGGATTATCTAGTGTCTATACTAATAAACCGACCGTCAATCCGATTGAGGATTGGCCGGTTTACTAACCACGCTGAATTTGTGGAAGACGAGATTCCGCCTTATGCCATCCTCTCTTACACGTGGGGCAACGGTGAGGTGTTATTCGAAGACATGGAAAGCCCGGAGAAGAGAAAAATAGCCAAACAGAAAGCCGATTACTCAAAGCTAGAGTGATTAGCGATGCAAGGATCAGAATGATATCAGTTGCGCCCGTACCTACGGATTACTAACTAAGTAGAGGTATTTACCACCAAAAATAACAGGTTTCAGAAACTATAGTCTGCTAAGGTGTCTTATATACTTACTTGATAACCCTAGTAGTCCTCAATGAAGTCTATGCTTCATTATTAAACTAGGTTTGACGTTGAGACATGCTTCATGATCGACGCATGAAGAGAAAATAAGCTCGCACATAACATGAGCGCACGAGATTCCAATTGCGCCTTGAAAAATCAGGACATGATCAGCTCTGTATCATTCAGCCTGCTCTTCATCACGCTTTCTCTTTCGTTTCATATCATGTCGCACTTTGAAGATGTACCAGGCGCCGACAGTGAGGAAAGTCAATGGTATCGTTGCTGCAACATATATCCAAAAGCTTGGGCTGGTGTGCAATCCCGCTAAACCAGACTGAAACTCGAAAAAGTTCATACCGAAAAAGGTCTAAGAAGTTATTAGCACGATTTTCCGTACGCGTGTGAGAAAACTAACCGCCGTAAATGATGCTGGAAGATAGATCAATGTGCATACAGTGATAACCCTTACAGTGGCGTTGTCATCAACACTTTCGCGAGTCAAAAGCAGCATTCGGGAACTTATTCTTCCTGAATCTGCTTGGTTCTGAACATCAAGCATGTTCGTCAGCTGTGCAGGTGTCAGCATAAGTTGACAGTCTGAGCGGGAGGACTGACCAGCCCCAGCGTGGCGCGAGTCCTCTCAGCTAATATTTCCGCAGAGTTGACATAATTCTCTAATCGGTGATCGATGAGCCGGAGGCGCTCATATACTGACGTCGACTCGACAGCGAATGTTGCGTCTGCCTTCGGCCAGGAACCACTTATTTCCATCAATGTCTTTACAGTTTTTCCCGTGCTTTGCAAGCATCGAATCGCTCTGCAAACTATCTTGTCTTCTATATTTCTCAGAGTTTGAAGCTGTTTAGCCTCGACTTTAGTTCGTTTCGTGTCAATCACGAGAACATATTTCCGCTATAAGGTCTTAGCTTGATCACTCTCATCTCGCACTCGGTGTTATAGACCTACGATATCTTGGAGTGACTTTGCCATACTCTCGATATAATCTTGCCAGTGGACGATATAAGTTGATAAAACAACCAGGTGGACGTTCATAGGATGCCTAGCAAGGGCAAGTTTCTCCGGTGACTCTGCATGTTTCTCGAGTCGCTTTTGAAGTGCAGGCTCATCATTGGAGTGAAGCAAGATGCATTTGCTTTGCCTCGTCTTCATCGAGTGTTTCTGATAGACTCCAGTTTGTCGGAATGACCACTGGTCTCTGTCAGTTGGCCTTCCGCTGGGCTCGACGTACATCAACTGGTAGCAAAGTTCTGAAGAGCCAGTCAGTACTGTTATTTCTCAGTGTGCACCATTATCCTGCCATACATAATTATCGCCTTGAATAGATGGCATGATGAAATTACATACCAAATGACCCATCTGACTCCTTTAAGGCTTGCCTGAACCCGGAGGATTCCTCAAAAATCTGAGGCTGATATCCGAACTTGAGAAGAACATCAAAGAACATGCCAGATATAGCCCAATTGGTTGTCACTGCCATCATAGCATCTTTTGTGCATTGCAGTGAGTCTAGAGAGTACTCCTGAAAAAATGAGCTAAGATGGCACTCAGCGAAATATCAAAGCTGGAGACGCAAACAAGTCACTCACAGAATACGAAACGAATCGTCGCTAGTCTTGAGGAGGCTATCTCCCAGATCGGACGCATTGTTGATGCGAGTATTTGGAGGTTTCCCTTCCTCTCCTTATAATTAGTACACGGCTCCTGCTCTTTCTCACGGTCGACTTACGAACTCGAATCAATCGTACAACGAAACGTGATTGATCGAATAGCAGATCTTTGACATTGTCGACTCGCTTACGGCAGATGTTCCAGTCATCGACGAACACGTTCCTAGATAGAGACCAGGTGTCGTTATCCAGGGCATACATTGCGCCGCTTGAACACAGTAATACTAAGGACGGAGAGAACATCTTTTGCGTAGAGATGCACTTTTATTTCTAAGGATGACCACACGAGGCTGACGCAGTCTAACACTATGGCGCCATCAACTACCAATGAAGTCTGGGGCAGCAACACGAACACATTGATTCGCTAATCTCAATTATCCGGTGAGTGATAAAAGGCAAAAATTTAATGTAGTAAGCTATCATGGTAATAACACTAAAAAATGTGCAGCTAGGTACTCGTCGCATCCCCCATGAAACTAGCCTCAGCATAGTGTAAGATTCTCGTAGCTGAAACACTGATAGCTCCACCTAAGTCCATCTCATTCCATGCTTTTAACTTTGGCTTTTTCTCGAATCGGTCTGGTACAGATTAGCACTCAGGCTACTTTGAGCTTTCCCGCTGGCTCGACAAACCGGTAGGCCGACTGCCATACAAGTTAGTATATGTGGCTCATCGTTGAAAGAAATGTCTAAGAGAGTTACCTCGGGAATTTCTTCTTCCGGAGCATAAAACTCCCATTGGTCTTCAGTTTCCTGATAGGTGTGAATGGTAATACCTAACAGAAGGATACATCATACATACCTTGATCTCGAAGCGATTGGTGGCTGCACCAGGATATTTGCTTCGCGGATACCTCTCATCCAAGAATGCTTCCAATTTCTCCCTCTTGATGTATCCGGTCAGTTTGGCCCCAATTACATGATGAAACTCGTAGTTGTTCATGCTGTAAAACGGAAGGGGCTGAAATAGGTCAAGGCAGAAAGTATTAGGACGAGGAATTGCGAGGCAGAATCTTCGCTTCAGCTACCACGGAAGTGAGCCTTGCTTCATTTCGCTTACTTTTGTAGGCAATCGCCCTAAAGAGCCTCATTTATTCGTGCAGTCTGCGGCATGAACTGGCTTTGCATGGAAATGCACTTGCTGGCAGGGAAACTTGAACAAGGTTGAAGGAATATCTCATTAGCTAGCTTCTCACCGGCTGACTGTTGCACGGCAGGAAGGCTGGCCTGCACTCGCTGGCAGTGAAAGTTGAACAAGGCTGAAGGAATTTCTCGTTGACTAGCTTCTCACCGGTTGACTGTTGCACAACAAAATGGCTGGCTTTCTGACAAGGTCAGCTTCTTTCGATAACCACAGCCGGATGTCTGAAAGGGCAAACGCCCATCGATAGGGACTTAGCCTTCCCGAACTGCGCCCTGTAGGCGCACAAGCTGTGCAGCCGTCAAACCAATGAGCACCGTGTTCTCTACACCCACAGATTAGAAATCTGGTGCCGCACTTTGCAAAGTCGCCTGTATGTATTAGATGGCGCTTTCCACTCCTTTCCATCCGATGCTCTCCGCGAATCTAGGACAATTGAGTCCAGTGGCCCCCAGCAAGTCTGCCTCAAACGGGGCAAAAAGAAACCACACGGAAAGTCCTCCATGCGTAGGACCTGCCCCTTCGAACCTAGAGCGGCGGAGAGGCAGAACCTCAGAAATGTTTATTAGAAAGAATCACGAGTCTAGCAGGCCTTTGGCCCGCAACGAGTTCCAGATTACGCAGGACACAAAGTCAAGTTCTCCTTCGTTCACACCTACTCTTACACGAAATTTCGCCATCATGGGGTGTTGCTTCTCGATATTTGGGCGCCCACAAACGGCAAGCTCTGTTACCGGAATGCACCCAGCAGAGGCTACATCAACGGACAGGCTCATAAGCAATGACGGTCGGACTGAAACCATGTCGCATATTAACAGTAACCATGAGGCACTGGAAGTGGAGATTCGAGAGGGTCTACGGTCATTGATTCAGAACTCGACCATGAAGACAGAAACAGAAATCATACTACCCGCATCGGTACAACGTTACTGGAATTCGCTTCGTAGGGCCCAGTTCTATACCGAGCAAAAGTGGTACGATCTAACTTGGGATAACTCGGACATCATGAAGGACTACCTGATAGTTATGTCTATCCTGATCGACGCTCGAATCGGATGCTGGGAGAAGTTCCGGGAGATTTTCATCGACAAGAAAAGGAACGACAGTGGATTACCGTACCCGCACGATGTGCTTACCAGTAACGACTTCCTTGGGCTCTCGAATGGAAAGGATTTCTATGCAAAACAGTGGATGTATTGTCCGTTGATGATCAAGGAGCAGGCAGAACCCCATAAGCTCACTGGGATGGAATGTGAACGTCGGTTCCCCTTCATTGGAGAAGAAAAGAACATCGGACATGGCGCCACTGGAATAGTCTACAAGCAAGCTATTGCTGCAGGATGTTTAGAATATCAACCCCCAAGAAGTTCGGTAAATCATAAGGTGAGTCAATATTGAGCCTATAACTAAACCCACCTCGCTAATTGCCACTCGCAGAGTAAATTTGTGGCTTGCAAGAGAGTGCAACATGACCAGATTGAGACCGTTGAGTTCGAGAATCTCCAGCATTTGCGAGGATTGCTTGCAACACACGATCGGATAATGGTCAACATTGCAACAATCATCCAGGATCTGCCAAAAGCCGGCACAGTCCACTATATACTGTATGACTTAGCGGCTTACGACTTGAATGAGTTCTTGAATCAAGTTCCAAATAGTCGCGAAAAAGAGCACAGAAGGCGGAGTGACACAGCTCCACCAGGTCGTAATGGATCCGAACACTGGAACGCTGCTGATCTGATCAAGGAGAGCCAACATCTTGCCGACGCTTTGGATTTTCTGCATCACCGCCTCTACAACGACAAAAGAGTGACCATGGCACACAACGACTTGAAGCCGGAGAACATACTAATCTTTTACCCGGATGCTCCTGGGGGTAGGAGATATCCAGTAGGGCAATGGAAAATAGCAGATTTTGGATTGGCTAAGATCAAGGACCAAAGGCGGGAACCAGAGAATTCTAAGGCTGGTAGGATCGATGAACGGAACCGCTTTCAAACACTGAGCCCTGACCGTGGGACGAGATCGCCGGAACACATTGATGTTACTCATCGAAGAACCCGCTCAACTTCTGTTGTATCTATCCGCAGCATGTCAATCACCAAGTCCAAAAGAGATCCTGGAAGATGGTCACCGCCAGAAGTCGAAGGGAAAGACGAGGGTCAGCTTAATCCGAGGAGCGGAGACATCTGGGCATTTGGTTGTGTGCTCGCTGCTGTGCTCGCCTTTGGAGTGGATCCGCCTCTGGTCGCCGAGTTGACAAGTGAGTGCGAAATTCCCGACCGCCTGGACCAGCGATTCTACGACGTCGAGACCAAGAAAATCAAGACGTCTGTCTCCAAATGGCTCAGCTCCCTTCACACGACCCATGAACACAAGCTCAGGTCTACAGGAACGCAATGGGTTAATGATGTAGCCACTCTCATTCTTGAAAAGATTTTGCTCAAGGAGACACAAGATCGTTTGAAAGCAGGCAGCATTCGCGACCAACTGGAAGACATCCATAAATCTATGCAGAACGAAATGGCGAAATGGCGCGGACAAGCGGAAACTGATTTCTCTGAACAGTTGGAAAGTCCAAAGCACGATACACCAAGACTCAATTTCCCAGATGCTGGTGCTAACTAGGATCTAATCTGGTATAAAGAGTTTTTTCGGGTAGTCTTTCGTCCCCTGTATGTCTTTGTTGAAGCTACTTTTTGGATATTGTATGTTGCCGTTACGCAGTCTATCAAACGCCAGAAAGCATAAGACTTCTCTCATTCAATAATATTGCATATCTTAGATATTGTAGACAGGTCGGTTCTCCCTCTAAACTTTATGCAGCACAGTATTAGGCGCATAGCTCAGGCAACGAGTAGAATTTGAATGAACAATGGTGACATCATTATTTATATGTAGTTGACTAGGTTCCACTTCTCTTACCCACGCTTATTTATGCTGCTCAAGCTTGTGCTTTCCGTCGAGTGTCCTACCGATGGCTAACACTTTAGTACGAGCAACGGCTTTTCACGTCATCCGGAATTGCAACCGGACAAATGAGCAAACCTCAGTGCTAGATTCCGGTAATTGGGTACGCAGGACAACTCACAATGGGTGGTAGGAGTGAAATTGTAAATTTATCGAACACGGTCTTACTTCCAAGCACCTTCCAGGAATACACTACCGCGGAGTTTGCCGCTCTCAAAGAATACCAGAAAGACTGGAATGCGATCTCACTACCTTCGCTTACACCCACGCCGTCGCTTACACTACTACCATCACCACCGCCACGTACAGCGCTAATGACTTTAGAACGAGCAGCTACGATAACGCGAGACTCACACAGGTATCTTCGGGAAGCGGATAATGATACTAAAGAGAAAGAATTGACCGCACATACCAAGGATGAGATATCCATAAGCATCATACCATCACATCGAACACATATAAAGTTTTTTTTAATATTATCCTGATTTTTGTAGGCAGCAATCAACGCTGCGCTAGATCTACTCACATTGTTTTCGGAGAACATTTGATACCCTCTCCTTTCCAAAACAAACGCCTGAACGCCTTAACACCTCAATGCCGTATCGCTATCCTACAACTTTGGACTATCATGCTTTAGCAATGCACGAGCTTCTTTCATTCGGTGCTCAAGACTCAGGACTCATCAGTCTTCGGCCTCTTTGCAATCAGTTCGGCCACCCATGGACCGACCTCATCGATAGCTCGCATTGGCTCGCCACGATACATCTGCAGGTATTTTGCAACTCAGCTGGAGTGATCGAGTTTTTAGGGATCTGCTCCGCGAAGCGCTTCGCCAACGGCTCGATTTCTTGTTTCGAAATAACGCCATCACGAGCCACGAGCCTAGCGACCAAGCGCTTGTAGATTGCCGCGGAGGGTTGCGCGATATGGCTGAAATAGATCTGGCGATATATTCGGCCAGGGCGGGTAAGGGCGTCGTCGAGGGCTTCGGGGCAGTTGCTTCTCATGATCAGCGGCCGGTTCTCCGGCGCTGCGTTGCCGTCGATTGCATTTAGGAGTCCACTAAGAGTGAGCTTAGCGGAGTTGTTACCCTTCTTCGCATTTTCGTGGGTAATGCCTGCACTGTCGACGTCTTCGAGCACGACGACGCAGGGGCCCTCGAGGTTCCCAAATGCTTCGAGAAGGGCATTGTCATTCACAGCTGAAAGGCTGATCAGACGCAGATCGTATTTGAGATAGCCGGCTAATGCGAAACCTGAAACTCGTCTTTCCTGTGCCAGCCGGACCCCATAGAAGATAGCCCCGACGGTAGGGGATGCTGTTATCAGCATAGAACCGTTTTGTTTTAGTGTCGAAGAATTCTTCTGCGTCCTTGAGAATATCTTCTTTGATTGCTTGATCCATGTAAGTGGTATCCAAAGAGCGGATTGGCTTATCGGTGACATTCCAGGATGTTCCTGACTTGTCGTTGAGAGTGTATACACCGATGTCCGTATTATGCTTCCTTATTATAAAGACCTCCACAGTAGCGAAGGAATGTCTTGATAGGGTCGGTGGAAAAAGCGAGAGTGCTGATGACCATAGCCTCTGAACCCGTGTATCCTGCTTTAGTATCGACGGTACATGTGAAGTACCGTTTACAGAACCAGAACGTGTAATCGCCCGAGGCTGGTTTCATGACGACACCATGTCCACCACCCATTGTACCTATGGTAGCCAGGCTGGAGCGTGTGCCTTTGCGGATAACGTTCGCCGTTAGCCACTCCATCACAGCTTTGTGGAGCATCGTGTTTTCGGCGACGACTACGCGTGCTTTCACAAAGGAAGAGAGCAGCCCTCTGTAGTATGGGATAGATGGTGCTATCGCGTGGTAAGTAAAGTACAATGGCATCAACTTGATGATATTGACCTTGCCTTTTTGTTAAGCGTTCCAGCATGGGCTGCATGAACGCTACGACGGGGATCGCCGCGATAACCTTCTGTGCCTCATCCTGAGACCACCAGTGCTTTGGGTGAGGGATATGTTCTCCGATGGAACCTCTGATGGAGTTTGATGAGCCACTGATCTAAGTGGAAGTTGAAAAGGAATTTGGAGCTCAACAATGGCTTGAAAAGTGTTTTGGTTTTGCAAAGGTTGAACTTTTCCGTTTTGCTTATCCAGAAGACTGGTATGATGTTGGGAATTAGTAGATGTGTACTCTTTTTATGCATTGTCCTCACACTGTTAAATCCTGTTCAAGAAGACTTGGGCCATTATTGTGTCTAATCTATGGTGTAGGCACCATTCCTTCACCATTGGATTTGCGCAAGGATCCAAGATTACCCGCTGTTACCTTTGTAAGATCATTCGCTACTGGCCATATAATCGAGCCATTTATATATCGCTACGCCCTGGATGAGGCTATCAACAAGGCAAACGCTTTCCGCAATTGCCAATAATCCGTTCCTGTTCTCCTTCATTCGCATAGAATATTTATCGCATGGTTGAAACGAAGATTCTGGACCTACATTCTGGGAGACATAGTTCGAACGCGAGGATACGTTATGATATCTAAGAGACTCAGGAATTTAAGTGGATGGCGATCGCGGTTGTGGTCTAAAGGGTGTGATGAAGTCAGAGGAACATCGAAGCGCGCTAAGCCATTTTCGGTTGACCCCTGCAAGAGACGTCATAATGCGGTTTTCTTTCCTACGGCAAAGTGACCACCACAATTGCAAATTCCCATACTCTCGTTCAAACTCTCAAGCTCTCGATTTCGCTTCAAGTGCTGTCACCATGGTCCAAACATCAGATCTGAAAGTGTCGAACCTGTTTTCCGTGCAGGACTATGTCTGCGTCGTGACTGGAGGCGGAACGGGAATTGGTCTGATGGCGGCGCAGGCTCTCGCAGCGAATGGTAGGCTTCGAGGCTCCTTTGGGTGGTCTGAGGTGAATGGCTAATCGTTGAATATAGGCGCCAAGGTGTACATTATTGGACGACGTTAGTATCGGCAGACGACAGCCGCATGGTAACGGAGCTGACAATCGCCTCTAGGATTGGAAGCTTTGGAGAAAGCAGCCAGATTTCACGAGCCTGATCAAGGAAAGATCATCCCGTACGATCGTCTTGCTATCGTTGTTGTAGGCCGATCGCTGATGTATGCAGACTTGCTTGCGATGTGACGAAGAAAGAGGACCTGGCCAAACTGTACGAAGAGATCTCGAGGAAGGAGAAATACATAAACCTTCTCAGTACGTGCCTTCTCTTCTCTTCACTTCCTTGAGCTCACGATAGTAGTCTGTGCCGCGGGCATATCGGGTACCAAGGCCGAGCCAAATGAAGAGTCCGCATCCAGCATGAAAGAGAAGCTGTGGAAGGAGGAGACATTCGAGCAATGGAACGAGACGTACAACACGGATGTGACCTCGGTATACTTCACGACTGTGGCATTCCTACCGCTCCTCCAGGCAGGCTCCGAGTCACATGGCCATCTCTCAGCGTCGGTAATCGTCATCTCCAGCATGAGTGGCATTATGCGGCATGCCCAGGGTCACTTCTCATACAACGCAGCCAAAGGCGGCACGGTCCATCTGACCAAGCTCATGAGCGCCGAGTTCCAGAAGTTGAGGATCAGAGTCAACAGTATCGCTCCCGGCTACTTCCCCAGCGAGATGACCACAAAGTCGAGTGGCAAAGACCAGAAGAGCGAGTTGCCAGATGCGACAGTCCAGGAGAAAGGACATGTCCCGGCCCAGAGGGCGGGCAGCGATGAGGAGATGGCGCAGACTGTGGTAAGCATATACCCATGCATCCTACAAAGCCAGAAGCTAACGCATTGTGAAGCTCTTTCTGACGAAGAATGCGTATGTGAACGGCGAAATCATTGCCGTTGATGGAGGTGTTCTGAATGTTGTGGCTGGAAAGTAGGGGGCAGCTTTGCGTTGGTCGAGGCTCTGGAGCAACGAATAACCACGTACTTCTTGAGAGTCGAATGAGGAGAACCATTAGAGAAGAGAATCACACTTGTAACATAGAGATGGCGAACAATGGCGCCGTTGATCTCAGTCGGCAGTATGCACGTGACCAGGCGAAATTAGGCTGAAAATAGAACTCTTACGACCCGGGATCCGGGTTTGATCGCGACAGGTGAGAGACGTGGTATCTGAAACACTCCCGTATCCAATGAAGCCGTGCAGGTCTCTCAGCGTTGGTGAGTACCCAGAAAGTCGTTAATGGCCGACGACGTTCCCGAGCCGGTGCTTTCGACGCAAGCCACAGCGACCCAAATGTTGGCCTCGGGCAGCAAACCGCCTGCGACAGCATTCACCCTTTCCTCCATTGCCCACTGCGTCTCCGTCCTTCGCCCTGCGACAATCATCCAGACCTCGACGGCACCCGTGTCAGCCTTATGCAGAGCTCGAAGGACGCCCGGCAATCGGCGCGTGCATGGATCGGTCCGCAGTCGCGTGCAATCAACCCGTAACAAATTTCCAGCCCGGATCCCTACGACACAACGCCTATATCGCCTATAGCACGTCTCAACCTCTCAAGACCGCCGCGGCGGGGTCTTTCTGAGCACCACACCGCACGCCCGCAGAGTGCTATGCAGCCCTTGCGGCATCATCTCCATATCGAATCCTCGAGACGCCGGCCGCCGTTGTCGACCTCCCCGAGAGTCACGCTGCGTCATAGCCTGCTCTGGGCAGCACCGAATTGGGCCCACGATGGTCTCCCATCCGCCCGACAGGCCGAGGAGTGGCAAGCAGGCGGGCCAGGCGGGATATGGGAGTGGGAGTGGAACACCCGCACAATCGAGGGCAGCAAAGCCGGTTTCGGCTCCGCCGAGTAGAGATGGGCACGCTCAAAGGGCAGCACAGGAGGTGGCAGGCTTGAAAGATTACGTATGTGGACTTAGGGAATTACTGAGGTCCTGCAATGTACATTGGCTAATGCTTTGGGTTGTGCAGCAATTGGGCGATTGCTTAGGCAAAGGGGCCTTCGGATCTGTATATCGAGCGCTAAACTGGGGAACGGGTGAGACGGTGGCAGTCAAGCAGGTCCGGATGGAAAATCTGCCAAAGAGCGAGCTGAAGACTATTATGGTATGGAAATTATGCCCAGTGGTTATGAATTATTTGCTAATATACTGTCCAGATCGAAATCGATCTCTTGAAAAACCTCAACGTGCGCCCTCAAACCGCATAACCCCTTTTCCATACAACTGCTGATCCTTCAAAAAGCACCCGAATATTGTCAAATATCATGGTTTCGTCAAGGCTACGGATGCTCTCTATATTATCCTGGAGTATGATAGATCTTTATGCGTTCTTTAGGCCCGCGGCTAATAAAATATGCTAGATACTGCGAAAACGGCTCCCTACACTCAATCTGCAAGAATTTCGGAAAGTTTCCGGAGAACTTGGTAGCCCTATACATGTCCCAGGTTTTGCACGGACTCCTCTACCTCCACGAGCAGGGTGTCATCCACAGGGATATCAAGGGTGCCAACATTCTGACTACCAAGGAAGGTCTGGTAAAGCTGGCAGACTTTGGCGTTGCCACAAAAGCATCTGGACTAGACGAATCGAGCGTTGTGGGAACCCCGTACTGGATGGCACCAGAAGTCATAGAGCTTTCAGGCGCGACAACATCGTCCGATATTTGGAGTTTAGGATGCACAGTCATCGAATTAATCGAAGGCAAACCGCCGTATCATAAGCTCCAACCAATGCAGGCCCTATTTCGAATAGTCAACGACGAGCATCCCCCTATCCCAGGCAGTGCCTCTCCGGTATGTGAATGACATGATGTGGCCATTAACCACATGCTTACTTTCATCCCAGGCTGTACGAGACTTCCTTATGCAATGCTTTCAGAAGAATCCAAACCTCCGGATATCTGCCAAACGATTACTGAAGCATCCCTGGATTTTGAGCGCGAAGAGAACTGTAGCTGCGGTTCCCGCTAAACCAACCGAGTACGACGAAGCTGTGAAGAGTGTTCAGGAGTGGAACGAAGCCTTGAGGTCGCCGAACAACGGCTCGATTCGCCGGGCATCTCGGCCACTCTCCTCAAGTCTTGGTACCACCAAGAAAAGCCCACCGCCTCAATTGAAGACGCCCGCTGTGGCCAAGGGCGGATTAAATGTTGCAAAGTCACGACCTAATGCGGACTTCTACCGTTCACCAGATGTTGATACGAACGACAACTGGGATGACGACTTTGTCTCCTCCATCAGCCCCAGTGCCCTTCACCTGCCTCATCTCCGCCCTCACGACAACTTTGCTGGCTTACTTTCTTCGGAACGCCTCAAATCCTTCGCAACCTTTGAGTCAGTGACCGAGGAGCCTATGAGTTTTGGTGACAACAATGCCACCGTCAACGGGCCGCTTCAATTCACGGCGGACGACCACTTTGATGACATGGAGACGGTCCGAGCGCCGACCCCCGTGAAGAAGAAGCGTTCTAGTTCCAAGCCACAACCTCCTACTTCTAGGTCCTCGTCCCAGCAACTCGACACGGAGCCCAAGACAGCCATTCTTCGTGGTATCCCCAAAGCAAACCAACTAGCGAAAGGGAAGGTAGCAACTCTAGCAAGGCCTTCAGCTCTCTTCAGAGAGAACTCTGTCGAGGACTACTCGGACCTCATTGCAGCCGACGAGTCTGCTTTTGAAAGGAAGTTGCAAGCCATGCAGGTATGAGCGGAAGATTTTTATGGTTGTCTCCACCCGCTAACTGGATTAGGCCAACCCTGCAGAATCCTTCTCTCCTCGCCTATTCCATCCCTCTGATCTTAAGACAGCTCCACGTTCAACGCTTAATGCGAAGAAGGGCGGGAGTATGCGGCAACGCTCATCTTCCTATACATCGGAGCGCAAAGGCATGCAGCGATCGCAGTCTGAGATCGAAATTCAAAAGTACGCCGAAGATGACAAGGAAGACTTCTCGGACATCTTCGGTCACGATGGAGCTAGTCTACCGAAAGCGGATAGTGACAGTGGGTCCGATCAGAACAGCTTGGCTATGATTACCTCCAAGATGTCTTCGTCATTTATCATTACAGATGAAGACGAGTCCGATCCTTTTGCCAACCTAGAGGAAGGCCTTGAAAATGTCAACCTTGAAAGCAATGTCGCCCGTGATAGGGATGATCGATTAGCCAAGCTTACAGAAAGCCTGGTCGGCGCTCTCAAGACCACACAACCATATGATGTTCTTCTAGACATCGCTGATCAACTTGTGAGTATATTTATTTGTATCTCGGGCGACTAGAGCTGACACAATGCAGATACAAGTACTCTTCGAGTCTCCGGAAAAGAGGGCAATCGTTCTACGGTCACATGGCATGCTGCCTCTTCTCGAGATACTCGGTACGGACCAACCAAGAGATGTCGTTTTGCGGCTTTTACGCATCGTCAACATGGTATGATCATTGCTAAGTCATATAAAGTAATGTTTTCTAATAATTTGTTAGATCATTCTAGACGATGCTGAGGCCCAGGAGAGTTTGTCTTTCCTGGGAGGAATCCCTATCATCTCCAACTTCGCCTACAAGAAGTACCCGAGCGAGATCCGCAAAGAGGCTGCCGCCTTCGTTCGGCAAATGTATCAGACATCTACCCTGACATTACAGATGTTCATTGGTTGTGGTGGCATCAATGTCCTAGTCGAGTTTCTCGAAGAGGATATTGATACTGACCGTGACCTTGTCTTGATTGGCGTTAATGGCGTGTGGAGCGTGTTTGAGCTTCAGGTTAGTTTTAGCTCTTACACATTCTATGAGTTCTTTACTGACCGCCAAATCTCTAGGGACCAACACCCAAAAATGATTTCTGTCGCATATTTTCGAGAAGTTCAGTACTATACCCCCTTTCGCTTGTACTCAATCGCGTTCTGGACGAACGAGATGAGCTGTCGGAGCTTATCGAAGGTCGCATTGTCAACATTTTCCTCATCTTTTCGCAAGCCGAAAGCCACGTCAAGGACCTCGTGGCTGATCGAATGATATTGAAACGTGAGACATCTTTATTACTATAGTAACCAGGTGCTAACTGCATTTAGGTGTTCTGAAGGATCTTCGCAAGATGTCTCCAAACCACCAGGTCACAATGCTCAAGTTCATCAAAAATCTCTCTATGCTGTCATCCACCCACGAAGCATTGCAGAATTCCAACGCCATCGACGTCCTTACTGATCTGCTTCGGTCCTCAAAGAAGCTTCCTTTGTTTCGTGAGATCTCAAATCAAATCCTCAACACAATGTACAACTTATGTCGCCACAACCGCTCACGCCAAGAAGAAGCAGCGCTGAACGATGTTATTCCAATTCTCAAGGATATTGTTCAAACAGAATGGCCACTAAAGGAGTTCGCCCTACCAATATTGTGCGAGCTTGCACATTCTGGCAAGGTGGCCAGAAAGAAGCTTTGGGAGAATCGTGGCTTGCAGTTCTACATCAGCATGCTTGCTGACCGGAACTGGCAAGTCACGGCTCTCGACGCCATCTTCATTTGGTTCGTAATCTCACCCATACAAAATCCCTACATCCAGCTGACCACTTTATAGGCTTCAAGAAGAAACAGCCAGGGTGGAGGCATATCTTTTAACGTCAAACTTCTCGAGGGCTATTATCGACGCTTACACGTCCCCCGACACTTCACAAAACTCCTTTGAGTCCATGCTAGAACCACTGCAGAAACTCACCCGTCTCTCTCCTCACATCGCCGCCTCCCTCGCTGTGCCCGAGATCTTCACCCGCACAGTCCAAAAGCTAGGCCACAAAGACGCCGTCGCGCGTCTCAACCTTCTCCGAATCCTCCGCACTATCTGCGATGCCACAGACGAAGCATGCGGTCTTATCAAACGCTTCGGCGTCTACAACACTGTGTGTCACCTCGCCGAGAAAGACCCCGCCATCCTCGTCCGTCAAATGGCGGAAGAGCTCGTTCGCGCCTGCGACAACAATGAGAACCTCGGCCGCGTTTCTTCTTCCCGCCGAAGCGGCCTTTCACGTCCACCATCCGGAGGCCGCTCCACCAACGGTTCTACTAACGGTGTATCCATGACGCCGCCGACTCCATCGCTCATTCACAGCGCCAGCATGCCACCGGCACCCAGCACACGCGACCGACACGCGCGAGCGCAGGGCGCGGTAGGTCTCGAAGGCGGGCTGAACAGCCTCTCGCTCTTAGACAGTACGACTACGCCTGCCGCGCTCACCCGCGCTTCGACGTCCATCACGGCGCGCACACCAGGCTATAGACCTGCGAGCCGAGACAGCACGAGCAGCACCTCTAGCATCCTCACTGCTAATGGAAATGGCGCTACTCAAGGCGGCAGTAGCGGTAGCAGTGGGAGTAGCACGAAGAGCCGGCTGCCGCGGACGAAGTTTGGGCGAATGAGTCTGGCGGGTGGAGCAGCGAGCGGCGCATCGAGTATAGGGACGGCGGGTGGCAGACGGGACAGAGACAGAGATCGAGTGGATGAGAGAGGGCCGGAGGGCTTGCCGGAAAACTCGACGCCGACACAGCCCAGCGTCCCCAGCAAGCTGACGGTTGTCAGGAGGCGGAGGCAGACGAGTGGGGGCGAGGGGTTTGGGAGGGGTGCTGGTGGGAGGAGTTTGTCGTAGCTTTGGGATGAGATAGGACGGGATGGGAGACGGTGCTGCTGAGCTACCACCCTGCCTTTCTAACGATGGTGTCATTGGCGTTATTTGGGGTTTTTATTCAGTAGTAGCTGGTAATCAGCTGTCTGCTGTCTTTCGTTTTGCCTACGAGGTTTAGCTTTGAGCATCGTTTCGATCGAGACAAGGGTTTCTTGCGCGGGGGATTATGGGGCCACGAGCATATTTAGAGGTGGGGCTGGGCGGGTGGCATTTGCATAGCTTTGGCGTTTTTGGGATGAGGCCTTGGGTCATGGTAGTTGATACAATGCATGGGTTCTTTGGGAACTTCTGTCTATCATTGCTACCTGAGAAATGTGAAGTCGACGTGACCTTTCGGTGTAATGAGAGCTTCATGCTATGCTGACCCAGAAAGGTATACCTAGTGACTGGTGGTGGTGAACGAAGCAATGGGCTATGGCATACATTTTGAGCCCCTGAGACGCCCCTGAACGCACCCGGGATGGATCTAGAAAGCTATCGAAGGTGCCATTGGAAGATGTCTTTGGGAAGTGAATTTTGAAATGTTCTATGGTGTTTTGCGTCTTTTCGTGCCTGTGAATGCTCTGCCAGCGTGCAAATAGCTATGTAGTCCTATTTGCAGCGTTCAAGCCCAGCCAAGAGCGAAAAGGGGTAAATTTGATCCTTGCAGAACGCTCTCTAGGAATTGCTAGCTGCTTGATGTGTTCAATTGTGACCAACATGGTGTTGTGTGGACTTCCGCGGCGGCTCGCAACGCCTCTCCGCCGCGCTGGAGCTGCGCTGAACGCGCCCCCTGATTCTGCAGTCCTCGGGGTAGATATTGAGGAGTAGGCTGGTCTGACGCCCATTTCGGGATTTTCAAGCTTCTGCACAGCGGCTCTGGTGCGTCTTTGTGGTGTTTTGCGTGTGTTGATGGCCCGCAAACGCTCCTCCGCCCGCCGTCCGCAAAAACCTCATGTCCACACCAGATTTCTGACCCTCAGATCTGGGTATCGCGCAGAATGATGCCACCGGGTGTGAAATGACCTTCAAGGCTCTCGCAGGCCATATCCAGCGCCCTCTGTCTCCTCTCTGCGCGTTGTAGCAGCTTGTCAGCGCTGCTCGCGCCGCGTCCAGCCCGGCCTCACGCTCACCACCAGATCTCAAAGCCTCACACCCTCACACTGCACAGCGAGCCTCCTCCCTCCCTCTCTTGAGCTTGCAGACCTTCCCGGCCCCATATCAAGCCCTCCAGCGCCCTCCTCAGCCTTCTCCCAGCATCCTCCGACTGCCCACCCCCCCGAGGCGTCTGCCCAGCGCCCCAACACTTCCGTGGCCGCCCCAGCCCCTCCGCCCGCCTGACGCACCCCGTGGCGTGATTCTCTCACCCGCCGCCCACATATCAGCCTGTTGAGCGCCACCCTGGCCCTCTTGACGTGTTGGCAGTCTTCCTTCCCGCCGCAAACGGCATAGACCAGGTTCCAGAGCTCGGTTCACGCCGGCGCTGGGGAGGGGCCTATCTCCCCTGACCCTACGGATCGACACAGGAGCGGCGAACGGGTGGGGCATTGGGGGAAGTGGCGAGGCTCGTCTGCCCTGATGGGGTATCATGCAGGTAGATCAGGTACGGTGGGCCGATTTTGGAGGTGCACGGGGTGGCAGCGCCTGGGAGAGGCTGAATTGGGGCATACGGTGCATCGTGAGGCCTTGAGATACATCTTGAGCTGGTGAGAGCGGTGGGCTAGAGCTGTTCATAGCTTTTCGAGGCCCTTCGAGCTGGTAGAGGCTGTAGCAGCGCTGCAGCTCAGGAGCGGCCGTTCGAGGGTGATATCAGATAGAATCCAGTTGCAGGTTCATATCGTGATGTCCCAGACCTCGCCCTCCTTCTCTCTGCGGACCAGGGGGCTTTCTTGGCCGGTCTATCAGGTGGAGTGGGGCCTCTGGAACTGTTGAGCCCGGCCGCAGCAGGCAGACGTGAAGGTGGTGATGCGCGGGGCCCCCAACGGATCGGCGCTAGTGGCAGGCTCAGGTATAAGTAGACGGCCTCCCCCCAGTTTTTGAGCGGTGTCCGGCAGCTTCAGCACACACAGCATCACTGGTCCAGCCTTAACAGTCTACCCACCACCCACCACCCACCATGGCCCGCCCTCGTACGTCTTCTTCCTTCTCTTCCTCTTCTTCCTCCCCTTCCACTGTTCCTGACTGACTTTCGACGTAGCGCGCCGCAAGAACCCGGAGCCGCCCGGTAAGCCACTTTCTTTTCCTTTTCTACTACTCATCGGATCCCTTCTGTTCCTTCTCTTCACCATCCCCTCCTCTAGTTTACCCTCCTTCATCCCTTCTTGGCCCAGTAATCCTTCATTTGTTCCTTGTCCATCCCCTTCAACATCTTCTCTTTTGACCCTTTCTTCCTCTTCATCACGTGATCTCCCCCTTTCTTCCAACATTACTGACTGGAAACAGCGTCGTCGGTGTCGCCCTCGGTGGCGGAGGAGCAGCGCCGCCGCTCCCCGGGCCCGTCTCCTGCCCCTGGCCGCGCTCTGCCCTCCCCGCCTCCCTCTCCCCCACCCGCGGCCAAGCCCGCTCCGTCTGCCGGCGCTGCCGGTGACAAGAACTCGGCCTCTGCCTAAGGGCATGCCTTTCCCGGTCCTTTTTTTTTCTTTTCGACTACAGGTCGTCCGGTTCTGCCGGCGCTCTCGTAAGTTTCTTCCTCCTTTCTGTCCCCGCTTTCTTCACTTCTTGTATTAACATGGCCATAGGACGTCCGCCCTTCGGGGTTTTTGGTGCTGCTTTTTTCTTTTGTTTGTTGTGAATGGGTGCCAGCAGGGGGCACCGGGAGTTCGCCCGCTGTGGGCTCCAAATCGGTACGTTGCGTCTGCATTCCTGTGATTGTTCTTGGACTAACTTGGCATAACAGACCCGTTTTCTCTCTCTTCACACATGTTGTGCCTTGCTTGAGTGACTTGATCGTGATGTTGTGACATGATGTTGACCCTTTGTGATGTGAATACTAACCACCGCGTACAGGTGTCGGAGGCTTTGGGGGTAGAGAAGGGGGCGGGTTGGGTTCGGGGTTGGTGGTTGCTTTGGTTGCTTTCGTCGGTAGTTTGAATGCATCTTCTTCCTCTCTTCATACTTAAGCTTGACCCCCGTGAGTTTGCTTTCTTGTTGACGCCGTTCGAGGTCCTTCGGGAACCTGAGAGAAATTAGCGTCGATGTCACGATCGCAACTCTTCAACTCTTACCGCACCCATTCGCACGGTTTCAACTGCTCTTCGCCAACGTTTGAGGCCCTCTGGCAGTCTGAGAAATTGCCGCACGAGCACCACGTCTCCTGCTCTTCAAATTTGACGCAGCAGTTTCGCGCGGTTTTGACTGCTTTTCGCCAACGTTTGAGGCCATTAATAGCGTTAGAAAATCCTAGGCGAATGTCATGATTCCTCCTCTTCAACTCTCACCATGCCTTCTTACGGCGTTTGGACCGGTCTTGAACAACGTTTGGAGAACCCTGGCGGCTTTAGAAATTGCGGCATGAATGTCTTGATTCTCCCTCTTCAAATCTCACATTACTTTCATACGGCGTTTTGACGGCTCTTGAATGACGTTCGAAGTCCCTTGGCAGCCTCAGAAATCGCCGGGTGAATGTTTTGGTTGGTCCTCTTCGATTCTGACTCCCCGATGCGAGGGAGTTTTGATCAATTCTCGACGGCGTTCGAGAGGCCCTGGCAGCCTCAGAAATCGCCAGGCGAATGTCTTGATTGGTCCTCTTCGAATTCGACATGCTAATATCGCAGCGTTTTATCTGGTCGCCGAAGGCGTTCAAAGGACCCCAAAAATATCCACACGAATGTCATGATTCCACCTCTTAAAATCGGACATCTCGTTTCCGGGGAGTTTTGATCGATCCTCGACGGTGTTTGAGGGGCCCTAGCAGCCTCAAAAATATCCATACGAATGTCACGTTTCCTGGTCTTGAAGCCTGACATCGCTTTTCTGGGGCGGTTATCGACCTTGGACGGCGTTTGAAGCCCTCCAACAGTGCCAAATCTCCGCGGTCGAATGTTACTTTTCCTGCTCTTCAAATCCGGGATCCCATTTTCGCGGCGTTTTGTCTGGTCTTCGACGACGTATGAAGGCCGCTAGCTGGTCGACATTCTCGCGGCCGAATGTCTTGTTTCTTGCTCTTCGAATCTGCCCTCGTAGTTTCGCACTGTTTTGACAGCCTCTAAACGGCGTTTAGAGTGCTCCAGCTCGTCGACATTCTCGCGGTCGAATGTCACGCCTCCTGCTCTTCAAATCTACCCTTAAACGCACCAAACATGTTCTGACTCGTATGTGATTTCCCAGTCGTTCAAATCTAGGAATTGGAGTTCATGCTTTCTTACTGCGCGCTTCACGACTTCAGGAGGTGCCCAGCGGGTTCCAGAGATTCCGAATGATCGTTATGCGATCCAGTCTTTGATTCCGCACTCAAGCGTGCTTCTTCTCAAAGTTCGTGCATTGATCTTCAGTAACTCGGGCTTAGGTGTCCTGTTGCGTTTCGTGATATCAGGAGGCCCTCGGCGGATTCTAAAATACAAACTAAGACTTCTCTCATTTCGCTTCTTGGATCGAATTGCGGACGTTGTCCTGACTTTTACATGTCAGCCAATACTCCCCAAGTCAGGTCATGGACGGGTGCTTCAGCATGTTTGCGAGATGCTCGGGCACTCGGAAGTCCCCCTTGCCATGAATGCCGCTCTGCAAAACTCTCGGGCCATATCATTTCTGTCAAGAGAATACCAACTACCACCCCGGATTACTCAAGAAAGGAGGATCGACCGCTCCACCTTGGTCCCACTGTCCGTCGGGGTCACGCTCTCACGCGAAGAAAACTCTCGGTGATCGCAAATACTTGAGCAATGTCAGGAGGCAACAATGTTTCAGGAAGCAATCGTCGTCGGTTTTTGGAAGGTCTTCTGGAGACTCGCCACGCTACACTAGGCTTCGTAAGTTGAGAAGTCAGAGTTGTCGCCGCTGGGTTTCGTTCAGTCTAGTTTCCATTTTCGCTATAACTCGAATGCTAGCCCCAGGATAGGCGTCTTTGTCATTCGCGAAAGCCTGCTTCGAAGATTCATCGTAGGCTTCTGGAAATTCCTACTTTAGTCTCGAGATATCCAGAGATGAAAGGCATCACTTTTCTGATGTCCTCTTCCACCATCTCCAAGAACCCTAAATCAGGGATAACCATTGAGATGGTCGGATCCCCTAAAGCACTTAGACGCGGCTTTGAGAGGTACCACTGAAAAACGCCTCTCGGATCAAAATCTCAGCAGATTGAGGCCAGAGTCACGGTTTTGGTCACATCCGCTTTGACCGCATTCATCCTTTTGCGGAGACGGACACCATAAAATCTCATGAGCATGAAGAATCTCTCTGGAAATCCGTAGACTAGGGAACGACTAGTGAAGCCAGCCACCTTTTCGAAACCCAACGGACATGCAACTCGCCAAGTCACAAGCAGTGACGATTCAAGTGCTTCGAGATGGTGATTGATCGGCCTTGGGTTTTCAGCTGGCACGACAATCATGGGAACGTGTAATTTCATTCGGACACCATCTATGGACTACCACAGTCGCTTTTCCCATGATGACCACTGTAATATTGGCAATGGCAGCATGGTGGTGGTGGCGGTGGTGCGGTTGATGACCTGCGTGTCGGAATCCACTCATTTGAAATCACTTCAGCGAGAAAGCGTCGGGTGACTGGCATCCCTGAGGGCGTCCCGCGGCGAGCTGCCAGAAATATTGCAGCATGGCCTCAAATCGCGACAACAGTTGCTATAACAGCCGTGACGCCTCTGAGATCCCCCATACAACTTCGCAAGCAAGAAATATATCCCATCAGGCGTGCTGAGGTGCTCCGGAGGCGCTCCTAAGGTGTGAAAGCCGGCCTCGAGCTGGCCCGTGCTTGTTTACACTTCCGCAGGTTGGGGTAGATATTTCATATATATTCGACCATCTCCCGCCTTCGGGCACTTGGTCAATTTGAAACAACACAGAGAAGATCAGCATGGCCCCTGCACTAAGGATGACACGCTTTATCAAAGTGAGCTTTCAAGAATTTTTTTTGCACTTTGTTCGTCGTGGGTGGTGGTTGGGAGTTCGATCCTCGGGGGTGCTGGTCTTCTTTTTTTGCGGCTCGCGAGCTCTGCAACACCATGAGGGCGTACGCATTCGCGTTGTATATTCGTAATAGCTACTAGTCTGCATATTCCTTAAAGGATACTCTCAGCAGGACAGGCAGTGGTCTTTCTGCCGTAATGTGAATAGCAACTGTGGACGTGGCGGGACCTTGAGGTGATTCCTTCGTTCACAGCATCCTCCAGTGAGACCCCCAGCATCATAGCCTAAGATATTGTATGACGGTTTGAAGTCCACACAGGGCAAGGACCGCCAAAACCGTAGATTTATCGATTCACTATGCATTCGATAGTGCGATGCTCAAGACATACGCCCCAACAAGCGGAGATGCGTAGTGGGCGTCCATCTCCTCGAAGTTGTTGCTCGACTTCCGCGGCCACCGCTTCGGTCACCAGCCCCATCACCATCAATCCTCCACAGCATCGCGGCGAGCTCCAGAACAGCGATGACATATCCGAAACAGCAAGCGTATTGAGCTTTTGGCGTTCACGGAGAGTCGCCGACCATCCAGCCGAATGCGGGAGCTGCACCTCGAGGCAGGCGTGGCGATTCTTGAACAGCTTCACGCTGCTCGAGCTGCCATCCGCCACTCGCCATCCAACAGCCTCACACCATCGGCCTGGGAGATACAAGCCTCTAAACAGCAAGCCGGCTCTGACACGACATGAACGCTGTATGGCGATGGACTCGGTTCTGGCTTCCGAGCAGCGACGGCAATCCCAACGAGAGGTTGACTAGAATAGCCGGCCTGCAGAGGGGCGGACATCCAGGCTTATCAGCCGCACACCATCCGGCCTTTTCAAAACAGAGGAGAGCATCATAAAAGAGTTGGAAGAGGCGGAAGAGGCCTCGGGGTATGACTCCATCGATATACGGCCACCGCCGGCAGGCTCAAACAGGCGCTCAACGTAGTTGCGGCAGCTAATGTGGACAAGGAGTGTTGAAGATGCTCGGTCCGCTTCGAGGGCAGTGGAGTCGTTTCCCCGATCGAGCCGCCGAAGAGGTGCATTGAGCGCAGACACGAAGCAGCCCCAGCAAAAGATATCTCGTCGAGGGCGATAGAAACGAAGTCGAGGTCGAAGACGAAAAGCATTGGCTGACATCCCTCATCTCTTTAGGCATTTCATCCGATTGACTATGCTGACTAGCCTACGAGTTGATTGGCAGGCCTCGTACAAGACAATCGCACGCGGCACCAAGCGACCATCCTTCCCTCCCCATTATTCAATAGCCAGCCGAGAAGGCTTGACATCCGCTATGTCGTACGAGCCAATCAGCGTCACGGCGGCCATACTGCTGAATGTTCGAAGATGTTGGAGGAGGGATAAAGCTGAGGGTACAACGAGACTTGGTAATTGTCGAGAAAAGTGGTGCTGGCATCCACACGAAAGCCACGGCTGAGTTTTGTTATGGTTATCGGCTCCTAGATCCTGGTCCTGGTCCTTGGTTCCGTTGGTTCCGTTGGTTCCCTTGATCCTTGGCCCTGGGCGACGGTGGGGTTGCTGGCCTCCGGATTGAGCGTCAACATTCAAAACGGAATGAACGTTGAAATTAATAGCCCAGAAGGCGCCGATGCCATAGAATGGAAGTTGATATCAAAAAGCATCAAGAGTAGGAGATAGAAGCATGATCGGAAAGTAAGAACGAAAATCTGGGTATCGTAAAGAACGACATCTGCTTATGAGATGTCTTACTCGTCGGTTGACATCAAGGGAACAGGTAGAGAGCTCCTTTGCAAGAGAGAAGTTTACAGCAGAGTGAGGAAAAAGGAGACATGTTGGCAATATGGATCTGCAATTGGAAATAGCAGAGCATGCTATAGGGAAAAGGGCCACGAAGTCGATGTGGATGAATCAGGGGTTAAAGTTGACCGGCAGCAGGGCTTCCGCTAAGATCGTATGAGCCATCTCTACAATTCTGTCTTCTCCAGAGACTTCAGCACCGTGGGTCCGAAGACTCAGCGTAATGGCTCGTTGCTAGGTCTTATAGTCGTCGGCGTCCACTAGAATCATCGTCTGAGAGGGGCTCTCAGTCCTGATGTCAAGTAAGTCTAAGCCTTCAGCAGAAGGCCTTGCCGTTCCTTCCCTGTCCGTCCTCGAAATGGATGACGTCCCGGTGTTTGGCTCTGTTCTATAGCGAGCTAGATGTAACATGTAGGAACCGACATCCTTTGCATAATGCTTGTTGGAATCTAGCCAAGGCCAGATTCTTCCAGGGAAAGATGTGGTCGTAGATGGTTGCAAATCAACCAAGGGGTAAGTCGAGTTTCATTTTTCGAATGCTCTTTTCAATCCTTGGATGATTATACATGTACGATTGGCAGCATCGCCCCAAGCCAGTTGGCGATAGGTCGAACTGCCTTAGAATTGTCGTCTTCTTCTCCTTCAAGCTCGTCCGTCAATTTCTCCAGCTCTTGTATCCTTTGGTCTTTCAAGGTCGATAAAACTTCGAGTTCCTGATTCGACATTTTGGATGAACCGACGTCAAGAATAGCACCATGCTGGACCTTGAAATTGATCGGGATCTGCTCAAAAGGGTTAGCTATATTTTCAAAAAGATATCTGACTTTTTGTCCACTCAAGTCTCGCCGCAAGACTAGAGACTTCGATGCTCACCTTTGGATGAAGCCAGGGTACTGGGGATGTATCCAAATGATCGTGTACCGGAGCATGAGGATCTTCGTCGGTTTCGGGGTGGCTAAACAAAGTAAATTGCGGGGTTTGAGAATACGTCCAATCCAGGGCCTAAATTAAGTCAGCGATCCTATTAGAGACCACGAAGGGAATCACGGGATGACATACTCTGAGCTCATCGTAGCCCTTGCTGATCTCAGGAGTGCTCAAGAGCGACTCATCGACCGCTATCGCCGCCGGTACACCGGAATGCATTCGTGCAAACTCATCTTGCACTTGCTTCTGGAAAGCCTGGTTACTCAACCCGATATTCGCGATCGGGGAGCTAACGCTCTCGACGCCTCGCGCTTTGAGGTATGGCTTTGCTGGCGAGTGCAGGTATTGCGGTATAGCCTGGAGATTTGGCGAGCGCAAGAGACAGGTTCCATGATGGAGCGCTCTGTTCCGGGTGAGCTTGTATGCCGATCCCGAAACCTTCAGCGGCCGTGGACCAGCTCCGTCGTCGACTGTGTACGGCGTCCTGTGGGTGTCCTGGGGATCGCTTCTGCCGTTTCGATTGCCCTGGTCTAGGACGATGTCGTGTCGCTCGTTGACTCTAGCCCGGTCGATGCCCAGCTTGCGGAGCGCGCGTACGACCATCTCAGCATGCTTATCGCGGGTGAAGTCCGTCGGTGGGCATATAACGCTCCAATTGACGTTGCCCTCATCGTGGAAGACGGTGCCACCTCCTGAGCGACGTCGGACTAGGTCCACATTGCCGATGACTGGTTGTCCGTCCTCCTTTGCTGTCGTGGAGCTCCCCGCCTTCAGTATGCCCAGGTTGACTTCCAGCCAGGGGTTCTGATTGCGACCAATAACTATGCAAGGCCGGTTAGTGTAGAGGAAGAGTATCGTGGAGTCGGGCGGCGACTTTTGAAGGAGGTAGTGTTCGATGGAGAGGTTGAGGTAGGGGTCGTTGCTGTCGGAGACGTAGCTCTGGATGGGGTCGCAAATCGTTTGGGCCAGCGACGCAATGCCCCTGTGGCCGCTACGCCTCCCACCGCTTGCCAGCAGCTTGTGCGAGGCTTGCTGCAGCTTCACGATTCCCCGAGATGGCGCTATCATCGTTCCTAGGGACTGTGGACGTTGATAGAGCAGCTTGGTGTGGACGTTGGAGCAAGCTTCTAGCGCGACCCATGGAACTTTGCAAGGACGATCCGATTCGCGGAGCAGGGGCGAGGAGGGCACATCAGTGCCTGAAAAGCAACCTCACTTCATAGCGCGAAGGGTGAGAAGGCTGGCATTATGCGTCGTATCAGCTAATGCCAGTGGTGAGAAGTACTATGGGATTAGAATAAAGATCTTGCAAAGCATCCATAGCCCAGCCAAAGAGCCCTAGATGCCTCGTCCGATGGCCATCTCCTGCAATACTCCGAATTATTTTACGGCTTTTAGGTGGCCTCAAGTGCATCTGATCGCTATGAATGCAATTTGGAATCCAGACTGCTTAGAGCGAGGTATATGACTCCTAGGCGAAGTAGGTCTGATAGCCGCTCAACCTTGCCATCTCCTTCGCTCGTAATTACGTTTAGATCTACACAGAATCGTTCAAACATCAATTACAGCGCCTGCAAGAGCGTCGCGTACAAGAAGAGCTTCATTAGATGAACGGTGCCACTACTTGCTGATCAAAATGCGTTAGATTTACAGTTCCCTCTGGTGCTTTACGACAGCAGTCACGAAATCGGCCAAAGAGGAGATTGTCATTATTCTTGCTAACAGATTGTATGTACAGTACGATGCTACTCGATTCCTCTACGCGCGAAACTAGTCAGCACCTCACGGGATATCGTCGATGGACACTACGTTGAACTCCTTCCTGCCATTCAGCTTCCTCCTCATGGCACTGCTAGCTGGGTACACTAAAAGCAGGCACACAAAGTTAGCTCTCTACACCTTCATCGACAGCCCAAAACTGCTACCACAACGCCCTCCAGCATCATCAGACACAGGTAGAGATGCGCGACTTACCAACTTTCCTCAACCGATTTGGGCCTCCGAGCGGCTGGAGGCTTACGAGGCCATGCCACGGGTCAATGCGCATATGATCCTCCCAGAACATCTTCCTCTCGTAGTTAAAGCTGTTCTGCTTCGGTATTTTCAACGTCGCAACCGTCTGCCAAGGGTACTTTTCCGCGTCCCAAACTTTGCCCGCATACTCCACGGGCTGGTCCTCCAAGTTCTCACATAACTGCACCTGGAACAGATATTCCGCGTCGTGATCCGCGTGGAAGCTCTGCAGCCAGCGCGACAGGATGTCGTCTCCATCCTCCGGCTTGACAGTCTCATCATACAACTTTCTCTGCGTCTCAGAGCTCGGTACAAGGCAATACTTGATCACATAGTCCCCGAAGCGGTACGCGGTCTGCGAGTACTGTCGCGTGGATTCAAGATGCGTGTTGCGGACCCCATCGCGTCCTTTCTGCAAAGTGGTATCCGGTCTTTTTTCAAGATGTCTATATAGCTCGGGCTTGTCGTTGCCGTACTTGATGCGGAGGTCTATGATTTCCTTTGTTGTTTTTGCGTCGGCAAGGTCGAGAGCCGGGGTGGAGTTAAATTCGATGTCTTGCGTTGGCCAATCGAACCCGGAGAACATTTTGCCCTGGACGTCAAATAATTTCATGGCGAATCCGCGGGGTTGAGGAATGCGATCCTGAGAGGTTTATTAGCTGATTAGTGTATTTCCTACTTTTCTTTCCTCATATTATGGGTCTTATCCTTAAATGGATCCTTTCCTGACCTCTTAAACGCTCTGTCGACTTACGTCAAGCCCTGGATCACCCGGCTCGCTGCTGTATCTGCAGATGCATTTATACTCTCCGCCTTTCTCAAATAATTCAGTCTGCTTGAGATGCTTCGGAAGGTCATTGGGAACCACGAAGGTTCCTTTGACGACGCCTTGGGTACGGGCATGGGTTCCCCCGTACGCGTGCCTGGTCTTGTTATAGTGGGTCTTCTGGATCAGATTGATCATGTCTGCAACGGCTTGGATATCGTCGGCTTCATTGGGTGGGAGCTTTTCGACATTGGGGTCGTTCCAGTGGATGTAGGGGCGGTTGGAGAGGTCGGCCATGGTGGTATATGGTGCAGGAGGGCTGGATAATAGGGAGAATTCAGAATTTAATGTTAAGAAAGAAGACATCAGCATTGTAATCAAACAGGTCGAAGAGGAACTTGGGACATATATATCTATTCATGATGACGTCTAGACCTCGAGGGGTCTTACTACATTACAAATCATTATAACTCTGTCTGACCCTCATTTGACCGTAGACATAAACAAAGACGCTCTATAGCCTATGAAACGCCTAGGAGTATAATCGGTTCGCAGTATTGGCTGCGAACTACCCTGCAAATAGCTTTAACGGAAACGAGATGATGGTGTTCAAGTGCATTAGTTCCCGTATCGGGTCGAAGGATGACGGGTTTCAGTTCTAGTACCCTGAGTATTCCAAATCCATAGCCATTGGCGGGATACCACTCCGCCATCTCGAAATAATCAGATCGGTCCAGAGCCGCTCTTTTACCGTTTAGGTATTGCAACGTGGATAGGTGGTTGGATGATATCTGCGTATATTTGATACCGCTATGGCGTAGCTTCCGTCCCTAACAAATCTTAGAATAACGGCCACGACGCCGAGTTAAGACCACCAATGGAGTAACTAAACACCACGCTTCCCATACCCAACCCCACGCGTTCCACTGCGTATCCCTCGATCAATCTCCACGGTCTGGAATTACTCTAGCAGCAATGTCCGCCCCCGGCTCAGCGGATCCGGTGGAGAATGCACATGGTACGTATACCACTTCTTACTCTCAGGCCGGGCAAGGGAGGGCTGAGGAAGGCTTAGGAGCTTGTGTTGAGATCTCGAAAGACCAATGCTAATTAGAACGGACAGTGCCGAGTTCCAAATCCAAGAAGAAGAGCAAGAAGAAGAAGGGCGCCGGCGGCGGAGGTGGTGGAGCGGGCGCGAAGGTGGAGGAGAGCGTGAATGGGAACAGCGTGCCCGAGACGCCAGAACCGGAGGCACAGGAGGAGGATGAGGAGACAGAAACAACAAGTGTGCGTCTTTGCTCTGTCTACGAAATTCTTCCTTTAATCTACAATCTGCAGGAAAGAAAAAGCTGCTAAAGGCCTTGTAGAATGCGACCCCAAATAATCACGACCACGACCCCGACTCCGGACCAGACACCTCCTCACATACCCTCACAAATGGCACCACGAGCCCTCCTCCCAGTGGTATCTCCAATGCCGTCGCGAATGCTTTAGCACGCAGCCGCCAGCAGTCCTCCACATCTCCCCCGACAGCGGACACGGAGGCGAGGCTAGAGGCGCTAGCGCAAGAGCGCGATTCTCTACGCGCAGAGGTGACCGAACTACGGCGAGGCTTGGAAAGCATACAGGAGAAGCATGAGGAGGAGATTGGAGGGCTGAAGGAGCAGCTAGATGAGAGTAATGAGGGGCGGGAGAATGCGGAGGAGCAATATCGGAATCTGCTGGGAAAGATCAATGGGATCAAGAGGAGTTTGGAGGGACGGTTGCAGTCGGATAAGGTGGGTCACATCTTTTTCATACTAGAGTGGTTGGCGATGCTTTTATAGGATGGTATGGGGATGCGGCGGGGTGGAGTCCCGATAGAGTTGGGACGATACTGTGGCGGCATTGCTGACATGACATAGGAATCACTGGAACAAGCCCGCGGCCAAATCGAGGAGCTGGAGTCAGAGAATAGAGCCATGCAAGAGGCGAATTTGTCACTAAATTCAGATATCAATGAACTTCGCAAGGAGGCAGAAACACAGGCATCGGAGATTGCGAATCTACGCAGCCGAGCGAGTTTATCACAGCAGAATTGGATTAAAGAGAGGGACGAGTTGATTGGGCGAGAAGCCTTTGCGCGAGAGGAGTTTGAAAACGCTAAACAGGCGATGCAGGATTGGGAAGTATTGGCCATGGATGAGAGATCATTAAGGGAGAGTCTTAGTGATCGAGTCACGGAACTTGAGGAGCAGTTGAGCTCGCAAAAAGAGGCGTATGAGAGGGCGTCTAGTGAGCGGGATACGCAGAGTTTGACCGTGGACGGGCTGCAGAGGGCGCTGCAGGAGGTTCAAAATGGTGGGATATTATTTGCAGCCCTGCATTACGAAATCCCGGCTAACGTAATTACGCAGCTCGTAAAACAGAACGGCGAGAACTGGTTGAGCAAGCGCAATCTCAACTTGACGATCTACGGAAGCAATTACAAGCTACAGAGACAGCGGCTGATCTCTCACGGACAACGCTCGAGACCACTCAAAAGGAGCTCGAGCGCGCATTGCCGTTCGAAAAAGAGGTCAAGGAAAAGAATCTGCTCATTGGGAAACTCCGGCATGAAGCTGTTACATTGAACGATCACCTTACGAAAGCGTTGCGGATGTTGAAGAAGGGGAAACCCGAGGACAACGTCGACAGGTATAGCCGTCAAGTCATGCATTCTCACATCCCCCACTCACCTCGAACCAGGCAAATCGTAACAAACTACCTCCTCCACTTCCTCGCCATAGATCGCTCCGACCCAAAGAAATTCGAGGCACTAAATCTCATTTCCGCTCTATTAAAATGGACAGACGGTACGTTCCCTCCACACTCCTGATCCTCATATCCACTATAAACAAAGCTAATATATCTCCCAGAACAACGCGAACAAGCCGGTCTCGCCCGCCCAGGCGCCTCCTCATTGACAGGCTCCCTCCGCATTCCCCTCTCCCCATTCCGCCGCACCCCTTCTACCCCCTCACTAACCACCGACACCCTCCTCTCCGCCAACAGCTCCACCAGCAAAGAAACGCTCGCCGAGCTGTGGTCGAACTACCTCGAGCAAGAAGCAGCACAGGAAAGCGTCCCCGGTGCCAGCTCGCGGAGAGGGAGTAAAGCTGCGGATTTGAAGACGCCCACGACGCCGGATGGGGGCCCGAAAGGGCTGGGGCTTGGGTAGAAGTGGTATCTTGTTAATTAAGCGCGTTGAAAGTGCGTTATCAAGATGGGAATGTATCATAGCATCAGTCGTTTTCCTGCGCGCATTTGGGATTGGAACCAGGATAGGGATTTCGGGATGGGTCCATACACTTTCTTCCATGAAGCCATGTTGAAGAGTGGGTTTGGTTGCGCGGGTTGTTAGCGAAGGGCAGGGCATATCCGTGGATCGCTCGTGAATGACATGGTTTCGTGGTCTGATATGAATTGGGATGATTTTGAAGTGAGTTGTGGTGTCATTGTGGTTTTCGCCTTAATCATTAGAGGGAGACTAGGTTCTACCCCACTGCAGATTACACCAAACCTAGAGGGTGAAAGAAGTATGCAGGCACGGGGCCGTGATCGGGCTGACGTGTGGTGGAGACCACGTGACCGAGTCATGAAACCAGTGACCCGCAGGCATGAGTTGCGGGCTGAGTGGACTGCCTTGTAGATGGTTCGGGTAGTGAGCTACTCAAGGACTCAACGCCCCAATCTTAAAGAGCATTCCGGTTTCATCCTCGTGCCCATAGATCTTCGGTTCCCGCAGACGCACAACTTCTGTAAGGTATGACGGATATGATTGTGTCGAGTTTGAGGGCCTTTCAGCCATCCGACCCATGAGCACTGTCTTTCCGTCGAGTAAAATAACACCTGTTGAGCCACCTTCTATCGCGGACCTTCTGTGGTAGTTCGTCGTCGTCCAGGGAGGCGGAATGTGGCCATTGAAGGCTTTCAAACGCCACAAGACCATCGCGATCCTGGTACGGGAAACAGGACGCAGTTCCGTCGCAAGCGCCAGCTCCATTGTATCCGTCCATTTCAGACGCTCTTGGTCGATCATCCGGGGCTAAATTAAGAAGCGCTGCTACTGTCGCAAGTTTTGTGCTTATGCGACGGCTGTGAGACATGTATGGATACGTGTTGGGGTTTTTGATGTGATATTTGTTTTTGAGTTCAATCATCCAGAGATAATTCTTTTTGTGGTTAGCAGCGTAAGCACGTGAATTGTTCGTGATGCGGTATTCCTCAAAGTTCGCCAACGACTCCCCCATGAGGACGGTCAGCATCTCAAGCATAATGCATCCCAATGAGAACATGTCCGCAGAGCGGCCTCGGCGCTCGCCCTCGACGTTGCTCTCCGGCGCACAGTACATCGGTGATCGCTCGCTAGGGTCACCTACCGACCCAGTCGTTTCGCCGATGAGATCTTTTGATATGCCAAAGTCTGTGATAAAGATTGCCTTTCCGCGCACTAGAATGTTGGCGGGTTTGAGGTCCTTGTGTCGTACGCGCTGGTGATGAATGTAAGAAACTGCGCTAACAATACAGTCTATCCATGATAGCAGGCAACTGTCGGTTCTGTGCACGATAGCCTCATCTTCGTGAGCATGAGCGAGGAACTCCTTCAGATCCATCTCGGCGGCTGGGCTCATGATGATGCCAAACTCAAGGCCAGCTTGATAGGTCTCGACCAGTTCTACCACGTGGCTGTGCCTTAGCTTTCGAACTATGTTGATCTCTGACATTATCCGCTCCTGTTGTCTAGCAGCATGGGAGTATCCAGTTCGAATCACTTTTCTAGCGTATATTCCAGGTGTGTTCCAGTCGGAAAGAGGTAGGGTTCGTTCGACTTTGTCGACAAGGCCATAATTTCCACGGCCTAGAACTTCCAGATGTTTGTATGGCACTTCGGCTTTGTTGGCGTATGTGTTATGACCTGCACATCGGTCATCTATGGCGGGGACGACGTTCGAGCTCGGAGGCCTGTCATCTACGAAAGTCGTTATTGTGACTGCCTTGGTGACTTCTAAACTTCGTAGTTCCTCCATGCGGATAGTATAAGTGTTGCGCTTCATCAATAAATGCTCAGCATCATGTCGTATAATCATGGCGAGCTCCTTACAATCGCTTCTAGCTTCCTTCGATTCTCGTCGACTGAACTACTTATCATGATCTGCTTCAATAGCCCGCACGCTTCGTCATACGCCTCCAGCGCACCTTCAAAGTTCTGTGCATTATCCAGTAAGACTGCAGTATTAGCTTTCGCCAGCGCCCTCGAAAGTTGCCCCTTCTTCCATTGTTCGTTCCCACTCATCGTGTCCGAGGAGGAATATAGCATTGGCTGTATTTCGTGCGTGCGGCAAGGCCGTCTTCGTGGTAGAGAGACAACGGAGGCTCAGTCCAGGATAAGAAATGTGGTCTAGAAGGGCTCGTAGATGGTTTCATGGATGAATTAACTTTCAAGGAGAGACTTGGCTAAACAGCAGTGTTAGCGAGAGATACCCATCGTGTAGATTACTAGTCAGACCATTCCACTAACGTATCTAACACCATCAAAGGCATTCATGACCAGCTAGAAGCATTAGAGGCCACCTTGTATCGTATATAGGCACGGAGTTGAGAGAAAGAACGTGGAGATGGGAAGAACAAGGACAAGGCTGAGGCTGAGTTGCGTATCGCTCACCCAATGGCAAGGCTGAGCAAACTAGCGCAAGATAGAAGGTACATGTAGATGGTAAGCAATGTAAATTTGCAAGTGTGATAGAGAATCTTTTGGATTTCAACGAGCCTAATTAGGTGGGCTTGATTGACGATTTTTTAGGACGAGCTTGTCCTTCTCCAAAACTGACCTCACACCCGGTTAGCGCCATATCCTCTCTTTGTCAGCAAAATTATGCCCGGCTCAACTTCGGCTCGCCCGCTGCTCAGCCTGCACCGCCACTGCTCAGGATGCTCACCGTCAACTCACCTTTGCAGCCAAACTCGGTTTGCTAGTCCCAATTATCCGGCCTGCCCCTTGATAACACTTTCCGTCAACTATACGCAAAATGTGTCTCCAACAGTGGTCCGGCCCAACATGCAGTGGTCCAAAACCGGGCATTCATCAGGTAGCCCAGAATTGGGCCTCGATTCAGCTCTGCTACCTGACGGCGCTGCGCTCAGCTATACGGGACACTTGTCGTGGTGTCCACCGCTTTCCCTTTTTTCACTTTTCCGCTTCCTTCGTCCCTCCTCTTTCTTGCTCCCAGGGCCTCCGTTCAATCACCCATTTCAATCCAGTTGATTGAATTAAGTGCCAAGCCGTTAATCAACTCAATTAATATAAAGCCCTCTAATTTGGGGGGTTGATAATCTTACACCCCCTAATCCCTCCACGCACAACCCCCCCCCCCCCTTTTAGCGCTTCACCACCTTCTAATTGGCTCGGAGCATTTCTACGGAGCCTCCGATTCGCTCGCTTAACTTGCTCACTAATTCCAAATGCTCTCTCCAAATGCGGCCTTGATCGCAATCAATTACATCCTCTTCCTCTCCCTCTACAATACACTCACCATGGCCCTCCGGCCGCCACGGCTGGCGTACTACCCTACAGCAGAGGAAGCGTATATTGCTCTACAAGCGCACGCATCAGCGCAGGGCTACGGCCTAGCAAAATACTGTAGTAAACCAGACAGAGTAGACATACGAGCATATATACCTCCAAGACGCATGCCGACAGCTCCGCCGCCAGCACCGCCTATTTCTGTAGTCCCTCGTCCAGCTCCTGTCGCTCGGAATGCCTATCAGTCGACAGCTACACCGGTTGATCTTTCTTGTATTGATCTAGCCCTTTTTAGGCCTACAGCTGCATCTACGGCAGCACCTACGGCAGCACCTACGGCAGCACCTACGGCAGCGCATACAGCAGCACATACGGCAGCGCATACAGCAGCGCATACGGCAGCGCATACGGCAGCGCATACAGCAGCGCATACAGCAGCGCATACAGCAGCGCATAC